CTCTCCCAGGTCAGCCACGGGCTGGGGAAGCCCCTATGTTCAGGCTCATTCAGCTCCTGTGCAATGTGGGAGTAGTGCTGCCTGCCTCGGTGTTTCTCTGACACAGTGGCCTCCAAACCCAGCTGGGGCCTGACAGAGTCTGTATTTCTTTTGCATCCTGTGGGTTATGTGAGCAGAGGATTCCCCAGCCCATGGGATGGGTGTGAAGTATGTGGCTTTGGTCTCTGGCAGGGTGACTCAGAGTTACCCCCTCCCAAGCACAGCCATGCATCAGCCCGACTGCTGTGCCCGGGGACAGGGACAGCCGTGGTCACAGGGAATCATTGCCCACACTGGTGGTGTAGTATCTTCTGCCCCATGACATCCAAAAAGCATCTCTCACCAAGCTGGCAGCTGCGGACTCAGGATATAGCCCTGTGGTTATGGGTGCAACCAATATCCTGACACAGGTGTCCTGGTTAATTGCTCACAGTCTGAAATAAATTGAACAGAAACCCAAAGAACTCTGCAAATGCTGTAGTGAAAGGTCTGGGAGGAAGCTGGAGGCACATAAGCCATATGGCTTTGTGGGTAGAGATGGGTGTCCACAGGGGCATCTGGCAGAGGGTACCTGCTTTATGCTTCCCAGACAGAGCTATGCTGAATAACCATCTTGTCTGTAGGAGGAAGCTCACTCCCAGGCTCTGCGGGCTGCCAGCTTGCAGCTGGGCTAATGCGAAGGAATGCAATCCCTAGCAATGCTTCTTTATAAATTATTTTTACTGGGGGATTTGAGTGTTGTTACAGTGAATGTGTGTACAAATACTGGAAGAACAATGTGCGCTAGAGAAAACAAAGCAAAAAAACACCCGGCTTCCTATTCCTCCTGGGTAAACCTGTGATTTCTCCCACCTTCTTGAGTTGCAGTCTAATACAATATTGTACAGCCTGGTGCCTCCTTAAATAATTCCTGCTGGAGTAGCAGACACTGAGTACATCACTCAAATCTCAAGAAATTGTTTAGCTTCCAGTTGCACATCCTGAAAAGTTAAATCTCTGGGAGAAGGGAATGACCTGAGGGTCCCTCTGGGTGCTCTCCTGGCACAGGATAACTCCCAGTGTGGGGCTGGAGCTGGATATTTTGCAGGGGTTTCCAGTTTTACTGTCAATCCTATTCTCCTGAGCTTCCACTTCCCCTCTTGTAGCTCCTCACACATCTATCAAGGCTCAGATAAAGGTGATCTATTGATGCTTCACCAGTTTGAAATGAACTGCCATTACCAAACAGAGTATTCGTTTAATGTACCTCCAGCCATCTAGAAGTCAAGCATCTGGCTTAAACTAGTTGTCTGTAGTCAGAGGAGAGGAAGGGACACTGTGAAAGTCAAATGCCTTCCTAATTATTTTAAATACACTACTTTGGCTAGTATGAATCACGCGCTGAAAGTCCTTGCCTCCCCATGGCTGTAGAGGAACCTACAAAACCAAGTTTTAGATCATTAAGGTGTGGTGACTCGAAACCCACCCTCAAATATTTGTTTATAAAGCAGCTGTGAAACATGAGATCAGTGTGTTTAGGATTTCGATGATGGAGTCAGAAGGGGTTGTGATGATCATGCATGCTGACTCTAAGAATAACAACCTAGCCTCTAGCCTTTAAATTTCGCTCATCCAGGGTGTTTCAGTTTTTTTTAGTAGAAAACCGAAGAAACATCTATCAATTATAAGATGAATCTTGCCCTATAAATTGCTGCCTTCACAAATAACAGATCTGTAGAAGAGGAGGAAGAATGAGAGACTGAAGATGTCCCAGGAGAGAAAAGGCCAGCACAAGGGTTTTAATAATTTAACAGCCACTGGAATGTAAGCCCATGAAGTTATTTCTACACAAGACTTTGAACATGCATCAAGACATTATAACTTTCAGCCCCTCGCTTTCTGAACTGAATCAAAATGAATAATTTAGAGAATAAAGTCTTTTGAACTGTTTGCCATGGGTTATGAGACTGTTGCATAAGAGTAGCCAGGACATGCCATCTCTGCAGGTGCTGGGAGACTGTGGGGACATGGTGCAGGGATGATGCCAGCTGCACTGGGGTTTCTGTCCTTCTTCAGCTGCTCTGCTGCCGGCTTCAGATGCTTTAGAAGACTTTTGTTTGTGAGCTGTACTCCAACTTTCGGCTGTCAGAGTACCATGTGTGCAGCAGCGGCTCAGCAATGTGAATAATAAGCAATCAGAAAGCGGCAGTCAGATTTGGAAGGTTGAAGATGAAAGCCAGGAAGAGCAAACAAAAGCTGAGGGCAGATGAAGCCGTCTTGCCATAGAAGTGATGCAGTCAGAGCAGTCACTTGATTCTTGCAGTGCTTAAGTGGTTCAATTAAATTGAATGAGTAAAATAATTCCTAAGGGACGTGAGTCTACTGAATGCACTGTGTAGACAATAATGCACGTTAATGAATGAGATGCCCATGGGCAGGATCCCTCTTTGCATAGCAGTGAAGCCCATTAATGCCACGGCTGCCTAGACATACCTGAGCTGGGTTTTAACCCGCTGGCTCAGGCACTGCTAACAGAGCTCAGCATGGGCTGTGCACACACCATGCATGAGAATTTGCAGAAGTGGACCCTGTGGCCGCGGCAGTAGCAGAGCCTTGGCTAGGCTCAGGCTGGCTCAGGTTGGTCGGGACTGACGTGCTCACTTCGGCCAGACCCTACCCACAGACAGCCTCTGTCTGTCTTGTCAGCTCCGGAGCCAGTTGCTGCGCCCATGTGAGAGCCAGTGGTTACCAAGTAAATCTGAAAGTTGCTAGTTCTGGCTACAGGCTCTGGTCCTGATTTGTTGTCAGGATGCTGCAGGACCAGACAGCTTGGAGTCTAGACTGCAGGGGTGTTTAGCATCTAATATCTTTGGCTGTGGGACCACAGAAATCTCGTTTCTTTAGGAAGAGGCTCAGGAATAGCGCTTTTCCCTCCCTGCCAGCTGGATCACATTCGTGGCATCTTTGAGAAAGAAGAGCATTACCTTCACAGCTGAATATCTAATGTTATAGGCAACTTTTCCAGGATTTTTCTGGATTTGCATGCCGTGTAAACTGTTCCCAAATCCCTTAGACAGCTAAATGAAGCCAGCTCTAACCTTGGTTGATAAAGTATAAGCAACTGCACAGTAGGATTTTCTGAAGTTATCTATACAGAGGAATACAGCTGTGTGTCTTGCTCAACTCCTCTGAGATTTCCATCAATATTAAGCCATGAAAGGTTACTATTCAAAAACAAGATAAATCAACTAAAACTATCAAGAGTGGGAGAATATGCTGTTTATTTACTACCATGTTAAATAGAAAGAGGGAAAGATGGGCAAAAATTAAAAATATTCCTTTTATTTATTATTTTTTTTTAACCATAGGGCTTCCCCTTTCTTTTCTGTCCCATATTTTGCAATGAAAGGGGGAAAACTGATAAACTTTTCTTTACTCTGAATTTTTAAGTCTATGGAAACTACAATGACCAAAATATTTTTAAGACACTCCTTTAATCTCCTTTTGTTGAAACACATGAAACTAAGAGGTAGTGCAGGCCATCTATGAAATGTCTTTATTTTTACCTTTTTTGTTAAACACATCAGATGAAAAAAAATCTGATCATCCCTAGAAAAAAAACATGATTGAACAGGACAATTACTTTGTCTTTCAGGCACAGACTCAAAAATATGGATAGGTTTATATGTAAATATATATACAGTAACCAAAACCTCAAATTCAAATACACCTGAGCTTTGGGGAAGTTTGTATATTCATTCAGTCTTTGTGGCTTAGCTTCATCTGTAACAGAAATATTTGCAAATAGACAGAATACTTCCTCTTTAATCTTATCTAGTGATCTGTCTGTTTGTCTGGGTTTTTCCTAGAGATGGCCTCAGATCCTGATATCTGAGGGCTGCATGGCTAAATTAAGGCGATATCATACTCAACTTCACAGAGGCCTTTATTTTCTCCTGTTTGCCACAAGCATTTGTTTCATTTTAATTCATTGGGATGAAAGGCAGAGGAGCCATGTAGACTGGCTCAGCCCCCACTGGCCCCATGCTTGTCCCACCTTTGGAAAAATATCTTATTTTGACTGATGGTTATTTGCTCTATGGGCAGGCTGTGGCTAACATGCACAAAATGGCTCTACAAGAGCTGCGAGTCCTCTTTTCTGGGGCTTTTCCAGAGCGTCAAGGACATCCCAACCTTCGGCTCCCAGCTCTGGTGCCTCTGCCAGGCCAGGAAGCCTCTGAGGGGACCTTACCAGCAGCTCCTCAGGTCACACATCTCAGAGGGGTGAGTCCTGCATTCATGTCCAAGAGCTCTTTCCCCACCCACAAAGTGGATTGTTTGAGGTTTCACACCTTCGGTGCCACCTTTAGTCAAGTCGCTGCAGCTTGGCAATAGGGAAAAGATGGTGAAATGTCGGGATCTATCCGCGTGTGCCTGGCTAATTGCTGTAAATTAACTTGGCCCATTTATGCCCTTGAAGAACCCCAGGCACCACTGGCAAGCAAAACGGATACACTTCATCTAGGAGCCTTCAGTTCACACTCCCTCAGAGGACAAGAGGTGGATGAGGCAGTTTGGTATTTGTTCAGACCAAGTACTGCTTAGACAACTACCCTGCATTGTATTTAGAACAATTTATCACAGCCCATACCTACGTCAGTAATTACAATTACCCCTGAGATTTAGTGAACTGGGAAGAGCTCCAACTTCAACACAGCCGTGCCATGCAGTGTGGATGGAGAGAAATCGGAAAAATTTTCAGAGTTTTATTGTGTTCTTTCCTGTCTGTGTATCCCTATGTTGCTCTGAGGGGTTTTGTCACCTCCTCGAGCATTTTATCGTGGGTAACTTCTCACCATTTCAGATTCCCCTCATTCTCTGTGCAAGACCTCACCAATTCCTACCAGTGCTCATGTGGTTAATGGGTGAGAGGAGGGGAGCGAGCACATCTGAAAGGAATGCAAGAAATATAAACAATTTTATTAACAAGACCACAAAACTATTTTTTAATATATGCAGCCATTTACAAGGAGCAGATAAACAAACAAACAGAAAAACCCACTGGGGAGACGTGGTCAGTGTCAGAGAACACAGCTAACTGGCACAGACAGTATGGGCAGGTTTGGGTAGGGTCTCTTTCCTCCACCCAACCTCCTGCCCCCTGCAAACACCAGCCCCTACCAGCCAGGTGAGCAGGTGCAGAGCCCCGCACTAAGGAGGTGGGGTGCCACGCGTGTCCTGCTGTGGTGCCAGAGACGATGCCAGCTGCGTCAGGGCTCGGGCGATGATGGAGAGATGGCCGTTCATCGTCCGCAGCTCTGCCAGGATGTCGCTCACATTCACCGACGCCTGCTCCGAGCTTGGGGGCATGGCGTGGGCAGCCGGCGGTGAGGAAGCAGCCCCGGGAGCCCTGTCTCCCATAGGTGCTGCCAGGGGATTTCCGTCATGGGAAGGGTGTGGGGGGGTGCTGCTGCAGCGCTTCATGCCTTCCAGAGAGCCCGATCTTATGGGTGGCTGGTCTTCCTCCTTCCCTCGAATGGTGGCAAGTGTTGCAGAAGCGAGGAAGGGCAGCCAGTTGATGAGGTGGGTGGCACTGCCAGGTGGGACTACTGGCAAATAAAGTCCAGGGTGCAGGGATGGAGCAGAGGTTGGTGGTGCGGGAAGAGAAGGGGGTCCAGGGTGAACAGTGGCAGCAGAAGCTGATGTTGATGGTGGAATAGGAGGAGGTTTGGGATGTAAGGCTGCAACACAGGCAGGTAACGGTGGTGAAAATGATGCAGTACCAGTGTCAGAGGAAGAGGAGGGTGATGCTGGAGCTGTGAAAGGTCCAGGTTCTTCAGAGGTTGGTGGTGAAGTGGCAGCAGGTGGAGCATCAGGTGTGCAAGGGTCTGAGTCTGCAAGGAAGACACATCATGAGCACATGTACTTACATACATAGGCTGTTGCTTGCTGTCACTTCAGTGGGACTAGGCCTTTTTGGTGAAAGGGGGAATTTCATCAGCTGTTAGTGATACTCTCTGTAAGCCAATTAGAAAAGAACAAAGACAAGAGCCTACTGTAGGTAAACATGCAACTTAACATTATAAATCTAACTTATCCTACTCTTATTCTTCACAAAGCCTGTGGACAGGCCTTAACATTTCTCTGTTTGATGTCTCATAGGTATGCATTAGCTGGTGAATTACCTACTGTGTTTTCGTGGCCAGTCATGGAACGATGGTAATGTCCTAACTGACTCAGATCTCCCATGGAGATGTGAGGGCTGGATGGCTGCTGCCAGAGCCAAAGCTAACTGCTGCTTCATGAGGGTCCCAGTTTTCAGCATTCTGTTTTGAATGGACAGGTCAACACCAGAAACAGTAAGAACTAGTTGATGTCTTAAACTCTTCGATAATTTTATTTTTTGTGTGGAAGCATGACAGTTCACACAATTAAACTTAGATATAGATCCCTGCCTGCAGATATTTAGCAGTTTCAGCTATGAATATCAACAAAGAAGAGACAGAAAGAAATTGTTGACACTGGGTGTCCCTACTTAACACCTATACCATCTTGCAAGCAGTTCAATGGACCTCATCCAATGTCCACTAAAGTGATTAGAAATATACTTGCTTGGACTGAGTCCAACAAACACAGTCTAGGAAGATAGAGCAGCCTCTGGGGGATATGCAAAGACTTGGAAAGCCACGCTATGGTCCAAGGTGCTCTACCCACTGTTCCAAGATGGCAAATACTGTATGGTAAGGATGATCCTATTTTTGCCATAATTCCAAAAGCCAGAAATCTAATAGGAAATGTTAGCCTTTCAACAGCCTCAAAGATCTCCATAAGTGGAATTACTATACCACACTGTAGATCTTTATTTTAGTATTGGAAACACATTATACAGAAGGTGGTGAGATGCGACAGGAATGGTTAGTGTAAGACAGATGGATTTTAAAATTACTTCTGCTGCAATTAAGTGCAAATTTTAAGGCACTGCTGTAGAATCAAAGACACAAATTAATAGATTTATCTAGGTTAAGACAACTTAGAGAAAGCCAAGTACTGAGGTGTTAACACAATACTATTATTATTTCTGGCATCTAAAAAATCTGATGTGAGAAATCCATTTTCATTACAGACTGGTTTGGTATTCCAGATAGCAAACTGAAACTGTGAGTCAAAAGCAAATGAAGGCTTTTCCCCATCATTCCTAACACCAAACCAATAGGACATGCAGCCAAGAGAAGTCCATCTTTGTCCTACATGGGACCACCATGTTTTCCCTAACCAAACACACATGTTGGCTGGAGGGGATTATGACACAAAATCCAGCACACTCTTATGTCCCTGAGATTTTTATGGAAAAATACTGCAGGTTCCTTGAAACAGTTTCCTTCCTTTGTGTATTGGCTTTCTTCCCAACACCGAGTCCCTGCCTACACAGGCGCTCGATCCTTGTTCACTAGAGGTGGACTGAGGATGCTGCATGCTGTGTTTCCAGAGCGCTATTGATTGGTCTTTGATTTTTCAAAACAAAAACAAAAATAAAGCACAGTTCAAACACAGGTTCCATTTCCATCCAAACCACCAAAGTTTGCAAAGGGTAAGATGAAAGGTTCAGGTTTGGCTCAACTGTAGTGTTAACCAGAACAGTGTTTATGGTCCATATATAGCATGGCTAATCCCTGTCCACACTGGCCAAATAAACCAAATTAAGTGTAAAGTTTTTCCATACACTGGAGAGCAGAGGAAACTTGACAAACCTTGAGGTAACCTGCTTTAGCACTGTGGCAAATAACTGTCACAAAGGATCCTTAAATGGTTAAAGAGTAATTGGGGTTAAAATACAAGGAGTAGTAACTAATACAGACAAAAAGAGACAAAAATCTGGTCACCAAAGGCTCTTCTTTTTATCTGCAATCTTTCCAAACAGCATGGCTTCCTTATCAGAAGCCACAACTTTGTCATCCCCCTAATCCCCCCTTAAGATTTATTTATGCCATGCAGTCTTTTAAACACATCTTGCTCAGCTTGATCCAGCTCCCATACTTCCATCTAAGAAATTCCACATGGGCATCTGAGTACCCGCGCAGGGAGCCCAGCATATTCAGGACATGTGGAAGCTGTTGCACCGCTCAGATCAACGACCGGGTATGTGCACAGCTGACATCATGCAGTCTGTGCACCCAGAGCCACTGCTTGTCTGGACGGGGTCGGACCCAGCTGCTCAATATCGAAGACCCAAACTGAGGATGAAAACTGCAGAATCACAGCATCGCTGAGGTTGGAGGGAACCTCTGGGGAATGTCTAGTCACAGCCCCGGCTCAAAGCAGCTGTAGTATCCCAGCTAGGGTCAATAATTTTTTCTCCATGGACAAGATTGCTAGGGCATATTTAAGAAAACCCAAGAATATAGAAATCCTAAACATGATGAGGCATGAGGCAAACTGTTACAGTTGCTTATCATACACAACAGGATGAATCTGTTTATTTGCTTCCTCTCTAACTTTGTTTGTTTTATCTGAATGATGCAACTCTAGTGCTTTTTTTTTTTTTTTTTTTTTTTTTTTTCTTTTTTATGTACAGCCCCAGCAGAGACAGAGTCTTCTTAACTGGAGCATCGATGTGCATGCTCGTTCCTGAGGGTGTTAGATCTGCATCTAGGCAGAGCTGTACCTAAGTGGGGTTGGACAGATGCTTGCAAAGAAGAGAGACATTGAAGACAAGGTGCTCAAATAAGTACAGTGGCCTTCCCTAAACATAAGAACATACATGTACATGGTCATTTAACATCCTCCAGTACACCCAGTCTACAGAAGGTGGGTAGGTACTATAGCATACTCCCACATACAAAGACTGTTCAATGCAGGCTTGTAGTTTAGAAGAAAAGTTATTTCACCAGTTTGGGAAGTTAATCCAGGACTCAGAAAGTGCCTACTGAAGTAATTCCATAAAAGCACCTGCATTTTCTATGTTGTATATAGAGGGAAAGCCCCCAAAAGTAAGGATTAGACACATAGGCTATGTCTCCCTGAACAGCCTCAGAGTCACTTACTTCTTTCTACTGAGTGTATAGACAGGGAGCTTGGACTCATCTTTCAGGAGCACTGGTTTACTGAGAAGGAATTCAGATTACCTTTAGCTCTAACAGTCTACAGTATATATGTCTACATCTTATCTAATTCCCCAACCTTTCTTCACAGTAAGTGGATTAAATAAGTCTCGCATCACCTCTTTATTTCTAGAATGAGAAATATTTGTCCTCACCTCTTTGCTGGGAATAATGTAGGGTAACTAACTCAGAAGTGGGTGCCATGAACTGAAAATGCCTACATTTCAAAAGACAATGCCTATACCAGGTACATAAAAATAAAATGGGTGCCCAGCTTAGAAACAATGGATGCCTGACATTCACTACGCTCCTGATCCACTATGGATCTTGCAAAGAGAAATCAGTTGTACATCTTTGTGTTACCTATTTGCAAGTAATAGGGAATATTTCCACACTGTCACTTCTGAGAGTACCTTGGGATGTTAAAATCTCACGGGACTGTTAATAAGCCAGGTGATACAGTAATGAAAGAGAGCAGAGGAGAACCTTCAGGAGAGGATTTCCTGGTACTTCTCCTGCCCATGATGATGGATGTTACCAAAAGATTAATGGGATGCCCTGTGAGAATGGGGAAACTAAAGTTATTTTAAATGCATTCATCTGTATGAGAAGAGCATGCATTTAACTTTTCAGGCAGTCTTGGCTATCTTAGTTGCTTTTGTTTGACTACTGATTTTATCTGCCTTGCAGCCAAATTGCTGCAAACTCTGATTTCTTAGTCTTTTGTCAGCTAACTAGGGAAAGGTCTGTGAAGGAGAAACTTTGAGGGGAAAACAGGGGTATGACTTTCTACTGGCTAGCACACTGCATGGGGTTCAGCTCGTCTAACATTAGCTGTTTAGCTGGCATCTAGTGCAAGGCAACCATCATGGCTCCAGCAGAGATAAAAACACCTCTGGGGACAAGCCATCACAAGCTATCAGGTCTCCAAGAAGGGTAGGAGGATCATGCTCTGGAGTGTCCCTCCCTTCCAGAACTTTTTGTAGGACTAAGTCAACTACCTTAGATGGGCTGACTAACTTCCAAATGACTGAAGTCAGGTGAGCTGGATTCCTCACTTTGTATGTAGATGTAGCAAGTAATTTCCTATCAAAACAGAATAGCAGATGGGTAGTGCTGCCTCTGTATTCCTGTGGAAGGCATAAAAGCCTGGAGATAAAGTTTAAGGTGCAAGAGAGTAGAGACTTAGGCCCCTAGAGTGCATCAAGAAATGAGATGGTGGTTCAGAAGGTGATAATCTTTCAAGTGAGTCAGCACTGAACAAACAACCCACTTAAATGATAGGGATATTAAGATGTTGAAATGAGTAATGTAGTCCCGTCGACAAAACAGTAACCCGCAGGAGGACTTTGTGCACTGTCCTTTCTGCTCAGATTTATGAAGTTGCTCTAAAACTAGAAGTGTCTGTGTGTGTGCCTGTGAGACCGAGTGCGTGCACGCACACCCACTTCATTTTGCAGCTGCTTCCCAAGAAAGTCTAAATATATGCCTGCCTCCTCTTTCTGGTAAGAAGTGAAACTGAAGTCCTAACAACTTGTGGTAAATGAAAGTCCAATAGCAACATTTGCGTAAGCGAGGGCGGTACTGCTTTTGCACAAAGTCCGTCTTTGGAATTTGAATCTGAAGCCATCCCTCCTGTGCTGCTCAGGTTGGATTCAGATGCAGAGTGGCATTGCTTCCCACTGCTGGTCTGCAGGCAAGTTTAGAAAGGTTTCCAGCTGTGAATCAAGTTTAGAAGGGATTAAATTACAGCATTGGGTAAAGAGGCTACCGGACATTACATTAGAATAAGCCTG